CCCGCCCCTTTCCCCCGCCCCCACCCCCCTGTCCGCTGCGCTGCGCCGGCGCGAGACGCTGCCGGAGCTGCGCGGCGCGCGACTACGACCCTGGTTTGCATGACTACTTCATGGACTGATTCATGACTACGTGTGTTGTTGGGCGGCGGCTGACACAGGCCCCTGAAGAGATTCAGCAGAAGTGTGCGTCCTCTCGAACGATCGACATGAAGCCCCGGACGGACCCTCCCCCCCCACGGAACGGTATCATCGACGCCGGCGAGCCCGCCGGCGATTAAGGCATAGATGTGACCCAGCGTGTTTCAGTGCGCCCATACCCGTTGCCGCATGAGTGTCGCATCGCATAGCATGAGAATTTATTGAGCGAGATGTCGCCGATCTGCCATGGTTGTCACACTCTGTACTGATTGCCATGTCGTCCCGAGCGAAGCTCTCTTGTTTTATTCTGGAAAACACCTCACAGGAGGATGAGCGAGCACGCGGCGGCCGCGTCTCCGGACTCCGCGCGCTCCCGCTCGGCTACGTCAGGGTAGGACGTCCTCTTCGCGCGCTCGAGGACGCGTTTCACAGCCGAGCGACAGCAGCAGGTGTAGTGTAGCCCCCCTCCCGCCTGTGGCCGTGCAGCCTGCTGCTGCTCCCGCGTATTCCTCTAAGAACACAATCGTCTGTCACATGGACTATACACTGAACTTGCGCACAGATAGACCGCAACTGCTATGCAACGTCTGGCGCGCGGAGCGTGCTGCGCGATACGTCTCCGAAGCTGTGGAGCACTCACGCGCACCCCTGTCCAACTCCGCCTCTAGCCGGACCACGAGATCGCCAAAGTGTTCGCTTGGGAAGATGAAATCTCGGCGCTCCGCTATGAGCTCGACCAGCTGGCGCGACGAGGCCTGCTGAGACGCGTGAGACCTTTTGCCTCGCGAGACCACTTTGCTAGAGGCAACGCTCGGGTCCAGCGCAGCGACGACAGCGAGCCCGTACAGCCCGAGCACCACGTCAACGAGGAGAGCCTTGTCCGAGTCGTGTGTAAACTCGCCTTGGAAAACGTTAACCGACTCCTCGATCCACCGCCGCCGCGACGAGAGTGGGGCAAGTGCCGCGTCGAAGATGTACATATCGTCCGCCCCATTGATGGCCATGAACGCCCACTGCGCGCGGGGGCGTGTCGGTCGACGGGGTGAACAGGGGGCATAGCAGGGAAACGCAATGCGTCACCTGCTCGAGGCGGCACCAGCCACGCTGGAGGTAGGTGTCCGCGTCGACCCGGCAGGGCGGAACCGAGTCCTGGTGAAGCGCCGCGGGCGCGCAAACGAGGAAGTAATGCGAGCAGGCGGCGTAGAGTGCGATCGAGCCGATCGCGAGCCGCTTGGTCGTCTCGTTCTCCTGAGGTATGCCTGAAGGACAACATAATGGACGGTTTATGGTCGTGACCTGGGCATGGCTCGCGCCGCAAATGAAGGTTGCTATGGTAGTCGAGCCAGATGTGCAACGAGTCCGGGTCGAGCCCTTGCCGCGCGCATAGCGCCTCAGCCGCTCTGATGATGATAGGGTAGTGTTGCGCCTCTGGGTCTGGATGGAGGAGCGAGAGCCACTGGTGCGAGACGAAAATGAGCGGCCTTCCCGCAGCAAAGGCCACGGCCGACTCCACCGTGTCGCAGCAGCGGAGAGCACCTGCGTCGCGCGCCTCCTCGTACGGCACGAGGCGGCCCTGCTCGCGCAACTTCGAGAGCGGCATCACGGAGAGCGGAAAGTCGAGGGTCGTCACGCCCGTCATCGCACGACAGATGCGCCTTTGCTTCTCGGCGATCTCGCGCTCGACTGCTTCCATAGCGAGCATATGATGGACGTGGACACGACGAGCCACAATGATCAGCGCGATGATGATCACCAGCGCGAGCCCGCCGCCGATGGTCGAGACAACGATCGGCCACTGCTGCGCCAGGCACTCCCCATTCCCGGGCAGTGCTTTGTGGAAGCCAAAGCTGCACGGCTGACATGCTCGCAGGGCGCCCGGCTCAAGGAGGGAGCGATCATCCTGATAGCCAGGCTCGAGTCCTGCGTCACAACCGCAACTGTGATCGGGCAGAGCGACCAGCGGTGGCTGGCAGTTCGCCACGACTGATCGCACGTCCACCTCTGTGCCGTCGAGGAGTAAGAACAGCTCGTATTCGCCGACAAGTGGTGCCAGCACAGTGGCCCTGTAACGTCCGGTTGATGCGTACTCGTGCTTCATCTCATACTCGAACCCCGAGGATTGGCCACGAAGCACGACTTTGAAAGCCTTGGGCCCGTAGAGGCCCTCCACCTCGTTCGGGTGGCTCAGAGCATGAGCGACTCGCAAGCCCTCCGATGGTACCATATGTGCGACGCGCATACCCTCCGAATCACAGGCCGAAAAGAATACGCTCTGCTCCAGACCCACCTCAAGCTCGATTGGCGGCGGCACCGTTGTTGGCCTGACACAGTCATAGATGCTGTCTGTCCTTTGTCGCGCCTCGCCCCACATACTGTTTCTGGCACTGGTGGCGGGAGCGACGATGAGAAGAATGGGTACTTTGACAGAGACCTCTCCCACCGCAGCAGATGCGAACGTCAGGTTTACGGAGGCAGTGTAGGGATCCTCTTGCTCAGCAACGCCGGCAGACGAGGCGCTCACTGTGAAAAGAGCGCCCTCGTCAACGCCAGCGGGTACAAACCCCGATGTGGGCGACACTGATATCCACGGCGGGACCGAGCTTTCGTCGAGTGCCCAACGGGTCTCTGCAGAGGATGTTCCTTCAAAATCGACTGTTATCGTCGAGGTGTCGATCGCAGAGTCACCTTTTGTGTGCGTGATTGCCACACCAGCAACGACCGTCGATGACGCATGGACACCATAGATCCTTTGCAGCTCTCCAGGCAGCCCGGGCAAGCGACCGGACCCCGGTAAGAGCTCACCGACCACTGTGGCCAGGCTAAGGCACAACATCGGCCAACGAAAGGAATAAGAGAGGAGCGGCGCCCGGGTTGTAAAGGATGATGAGTACGGGACCCCTGCACCCCTCGATCGTCACGTTTCTTATTCAAGGATTTGTATTAAATCTCTTTGTGGTGCTGGTCTGTGCTCTGCCCTTTTGCGCTGGGCCGCCGCGCGCCCTCGCGTGCGCGGCCAGCAGCGCGAAGGTCAGCGCGAGCCCGGCCCACTTGCCGAACGTCGCCCACGGCCCGACGGCGAGAGCCAGCGGCGCCTGCTCCAGCCGCGGGAAGGTGTCGAGCAGACGCAGCACGCTCGCATTTTCAAGCAGGTCGCACGAGCCGGCGAGCAGCGGCAGAAGAGCGAGCGGCCGGCGGGAGAAGCTCCGCCAGCAGAGCGCGGCGAGGGCGGGCGCGTAGCAGAGCGGGAGCGCCATGTCGCCGAGCGGGGACACGTACATCGCGCGGTACTGTCTCCGCCCCGAGGGGCCCAGCCGCGCCAGCCTCTCCGCAGCGCTGCTTTCGTCCCAAGCAAGCGACGCGTCCAGCCGGTCGGGGAAGCCCATGGCGGCCTCGGTTCGGAGCATCGCCGCGGCCAGCGCCACGCTTCCGGAGCCCGCGATCGCAACCGCCCACCGCGGCCTCTGGAGAATTTTGCAACAACTCTGGAGAATTACAGAAAAGGGCACCGCGAGCGGCGACGTGGTTATTAACGGAGGAGGTACAACCATCCCACTCGACGACATCGGTGATGGTGCCTCTAGCTACGCCGATGACCCACCCGACTCCCCCGTAAGCGAACCGCCGCCTAGCGCTCCACCCTCGCCGCCTAAATAAAGCCCCGATCGTGGAGCAGGGGGTGATATGGATTACATACACGCCGAGCGCGCAGGAGCGGCATATCGGAGACAATAGGGGGATCCGGCGTGAAAGAGCTATCGAAATCGACCTTGACCCAGCCGATTCCACCGATGTCGACGTCATCACCCTCGCCCCGGAGTGGCCAGCTGACGGTCAGAGTTCGTGGTCGAATTGTAACAATGCTTGTAATCACGATCCGATGCGAGGACGCAAGTCCACCAACCTCGGCCATTCCAACGGCCAGACCGCTCGCTTAAGGCTGATTGGCTAGACGAGCGGTCTACCTCCAACGGGGGGCGGTCCGGGAACGCGTGGAACCTGCCCGCCTCGGTGGGAGGTGGTTTGGCGCCGACGGGCCGCCCTCTCCACCACCCCCGCCCAGGGATCTACAACGCTGTCTTAAGGTCCGACCTGTGGGCCCTGCCTGCGCTCGGCACCGGGCACCGCCTCGGTATACAAAATGCGCCTGCGGGCGGCCCCCTTACAGATCACAGATCACCTCCGCGGCTACCGCGCTTTCGCTCGACGAC